TCCTATACTCACATAATAACCTCTCCCTTCTACGTATGACCTGAATCATTTGATTACCATCCCAGAAAGCCTGACCCAGTTTTCCAATCTCTCTAGTAGTATGTTATGATCGACAGTGTCACATAGATCAGAATTAATAACAGACTTTAGAATAGACTACAACTAAACTACAAAAACAAGTTCTGAGCCATGAACCAAACCAACCAGCTCCAAGATAAATGACAGCATTACATAATTTGGTTTGAAGCATAAAGTATTTAAAAATCAGAAAATGAATCATATCAATAAACTACTCAACAGTGTAATTGAATCAATGTGAGTTAATGTTTTCTTGTCTGAAAAGAGTAGTTTTCATACTCTAGTTGCTAACTAGTGTAGTTATCAGGATAATTTTAGTTAATATTAACTTAATTTAAACTAATATTAAAAGCATACAGTATGTGACAATCTCAGAATTTATTGTAGGTCAGTTTTTGAACTGTTCGCAAATTACTGATCAAATTATTGATAAAATAGAAACCACACTATTGCCCTTGTTGTTTCCTTTTGAAACCACACTGATGTGGTCTGTACATTTATAGTAAACTAAAATATATTTTAATGCCATTTCTATTGAAACCTGCATGCCATGTATTTAAACATATTTGTAATTACACCTTTGTAATGATTAATTTGCAATTTAATAAATTTAAATTATATTAACTTTAAATGCACTATCGAATCACACAATATAAAGTTATAATCCTGTGTTTTAGTATGTTAATCAACACATCAAAATAAGTGTAGTTTTTTAAAATACTTTTTAGACCCAGATACACAACATTATGACACAGCAGTAAGGTTTCAGGAGAAAACAATGCATTCAAAATTTTCACAAATCAATTGATTTTTAACAATAACATAAACTTCTGTGCTAGACAATTGTATATACTTTGTTTTTATTCATGTTAAATTAAATACAGCATTAACTCTGACTAAATGCATTAGGTCTGTGATGAAACTCTTCTGAGAAGCCGAGTTGGCAACACAGCCAGTTGATCTCCCTTTCCTATTTACACAACCCTTTTCACTTCCATCCTGATCTAATCCATGTCAGTACTGTGGATCAGGGATTATTTGCTTTATCCCTCCTCCTCCCCAGCACCACCTGTCTAGATCTGTTACAGGGTTCTTCCTTAACTTGCAGCAGCAGCATGTTTCAAAATACCTGTAAATTTGAGTGTGTTTTAGTAAAAAGATT